GTTCAAACCCACCAGCCACTCCTCAGAAGGAAGATGGGGCAATCTACTTCTGTAGTGATACTGCCTGGGAAACCCAAGGAGCGGTCACTATGAATCGGGTCCGACTTGACGGCACGTAACAGTAACAACAATGGTTCCACACGGCCTCAGACGGCTCTCTTCCACCTCCCCCCACCCCAAACTCCCAGCTCCCTCCACCCTCCACTTCCCGGGGCCCATCACTCACTCATCCTCCTCCTCTGGCCCCTGCAGCCTCTGCTCCTTCCGCTGCTGCCTGCAGATGAGGATGCCTGTGGCGGCCACGGCCGTCGCGATGATGGCAGCGATGATGCCCCCAATGATGCCCCCCGTGGCCCCTGCACCTGCTGTGTTGGGCTTCTCTGCAAGAAGAGGGACAGAGTGAGGGGGGCCCCCCGAAGGACGGCACCGCTCCTGACTCCCAGCGTCACCCCCCTCACCCTCACCTCCCTACTGCCCTGTCCAAGGCCTCCTTACTGAGCATCTGCCGGCCGTCAGGCACGGCAGCCAGAGGGGTGGCCAAGACCAAGGGCAAGTCCACACCCTCGCGGAACTTATGTTCTAGTTGGGAAGGGAGACCAACAGAAAACACATAGACAGATACAGCAACCAAGATGGCAGGTGGGGACAAGTGACGTAGGGTAATGACACACCGTGGGGAAGGGGAGAAGGCAGTGAGGCCTCAAGCAATTTTAAACAGGGGGCCCAGGGAGGCGTCACTGGGCGACATGTGAGCTGAGACCTGAAGGGAGGTGGGGGCCAAGCACGAGAGGCGGGAAGAGCATTCTGGGAGAAGGAACAGCCAACACGAAACCCCGAGGTGGGGGCTCAGTGGTGTCCTCAGAAACGAGTCCACGTGGCAGGAGGGAGGAGACAGCGTTGGGCTGAGGACCTAAGAGGCTGAGAACAGGGATTGGGACCCTCAATCGTTACAGAAACTCGATCATCCTGAGTGAAGGCTCATCACCCCCCAACCTATCGCCAAAGGGGGTTGAGAGAGGCTCGTGCCCCCAGACCACTCCTTCCTGGCACTTTCCGCCTCTCCTAAACAAGTGATTATGAAGCGATGACCTGTTAATCTGTCCATTGCCATACTAGATCATGAGCTCTGCAGGGCTGCCCTCCCCACGGTCTCCCCACACGAAGTAGGTGTTTCTAGACAAACAGAGGGGCCCAGCATGGGTGCTCTAGGGCCTACTGTATACCACTGGCGCTGGGCTGCGGATGGACACCATTTTCTGCCCCTGCCCCTGGTGCTGGCAGGGGACAGGAACTCATACACGTGTGAAAGCCCATAGGTTTTGCCCTTTGCACCACCCCCATTCTATAGATGAGAAAATAAGTTCCCACACCAAAAACCAAGCCTGTTCCCATGGAGGTGGAGTTATGGCGACCCCACGTGTGTCAGGTACAAACTGCATCCCACAGGGTTTGCAAGGCTGTGGCCTCATGGTGCAGTGGTTAACTGTGCAGTTGCCAACTGAAAGGTCGGCGGTTTGAACCCAGCAGCCACTCCGAGGGCGAAAGATGAAGCAATCTGCTTCCATGAAGATTTACAGCCTTGGAAACCCCAGGGGCAGTTCTACTCTGTCTTATAGGGGCTCCATGAGTTGGGATCGACTTGACAGCAATGGCTTTTTCCCCCAACCATTTGGAAAATCTCCAGGTCTTTCTTCCAAGGTGCATCCACATGGATTTGAACCTCCAGCTTTCAGTCAGTAGCCAGCACTTAACTGTTTTTGCCAAGGACTCCATGTCTGGATCTCAGCGCAATCTAGTTTCCTACTTCCTGTTCCGCTGTCTGGCGCCCTCTGGAGGGAGTCAGAGGATAGCAGGAGTAACGTCATTGCTGTTCAACCCACAATCCATCATTCTAAAATTAGTTATTCCCGCGGTTATTACTGACTGTGAGTCCCCAAAAGGTAGCACTAAGTGTGTCTCGGCCCCCCTGTGTCCGCAGCATCACCCAACAAAGGACCCACAGAGTAAGTGGGAGTAAACACTGGTTGAATAAATGAACTTAGCTGCTGAGTCCGGTACCAAGGTCATTTCTGGCAGACCCTCATTGAATCCCCCAACAATGCAATGAGGCAGACACTAACACCCATTTCACAGAGGCAGCGACTAAGGCCAGCAGCAGAGGTGACTTGCCGAGTGCACTATCCAGCCAGAGGCAGAGGTGGGACTTGAACCCTGTTCCTGGCACGTCCTCCATCGTGCCTGGGAGCTCCAGGCCACCTTCTGTCTGGAGTTTTGGTAGATTTCTCTGGTTGAGGAGAGCAAGGTGTGGCATTCTGGGATAGCCCCAACCCCTCCCGCCGAGTCACTGAAAACCTCCCGGCTGGGCCTGGGGTGACAAAGAGGGAGACTGGGCGGGCTACCTGTGGATGTTGGAGGTGGGGTGTCCCTGGAGCCTCAGGGGCCCACTGTCCCCAGTGCTGCCCTCCCATACCTCTGGGGCCCCAAGGAGTGGGACAGCCTTCCTCTCAGATCATGCCCCGCCCCTTCCCATGCCCTGAGGCCTCTGGGTGCAGATGGTCCTCCACCCTTCACCCACAGGTCCAGGGGATCTCAGGCTTCACCCATCTGGCCAATTCCACCTGCCAACTGCACCCATCCTGGGACCCAGGAGTCCAAGCACCCCAAGGCTGGGGCCTTGAAGCCCAGACCCCACTGACCTGGTCCCCAGTCCCCTTGTCCGGGAGTCTCAGACGTCAAATGTACCTTTCAAGGACCCAAGGGCTCAGATTCGCCCAGCCTTCCCCCATAAGGACCACCCTCCCCCGCCACCTAACGGCTATCCCCCTCTGCCTCAAAATTCTCAGGGACCCGGGAGTTCAGTGCCTCATTCTCATCAACCTGTGGGACCCAGTTGTCCCTGTCCCCCTCCCCTTCCCCCAAGACCCAAGAGGGGTCTGATGTGACAAGACACCCCCGCCAGTTTCCTCCAAGGTGTTTATTAACTCCTGAGTGTCATGGGCAGGGGCAGGCCAGAGCCAAACCAGTCTCTGGGGGTCCCTCCTGGGTCCCCGCCACTGAGCTCCCAGCGGCTTCCCATCCCCCACGCAGCCCTGGGGACAGAAGTCCAGTGTGTGAGGCCCTCTCTCCTCCAAATCCCAGCACGCTCAGGAGGGAGCGTTTTAACTCCAGCATGGTCCAGGCAAACAAGTCCAACCAGTCCGGAACCTCCTGCTGGCACGGCTGGTGTGCAGTGGGTGGGGGTGGGTGCCTGTGTCTCTGTCTCTGGGTCACACGTAGACTGCTCGCCGTGAGATGAGGGAGCCGTCCAGCTGGGACTCCATGTCGTCCTCCACCAGTGTCTTGGGTGGAGGCAACATCAGGCCTTCCTCTGCCTTCTTCTCCTCCTCCTCCTCCTCCTCTTCCTCATCCTCCTTGCCCTCTGGCCTCACGGGACCAGGGGCTGTCGGGGTCCAGAAAACGGGCCCCCCGTTCCCAAACACCTGAGTTTTCGGCTCATATGACCCTCCGCCGTCGTCACCTCCTGCAGGGCTTTTCCTCCTCCTCCTCTTCCTCAGCAGGATGAAGGCCAAGGACCCCCCAGCCAGAAGCAGCAGCACCAGGAGTGTCCCCCCCACGGCCCCCCACACCACTGGACCCACGACTCGGGGCAAGGCCCGGGGGGTGTCTGAGGAGAGAAAGGGGGTGAGAGAGAGAAAGGGAGACACGAGGTCAAGAGGATAATTTGGGGGACAAGGGTTAGGACAGACAGGATGCAGGGGGCGGCGACTGCCATCAGGGGGAGACCTTGCTGGGCAGAAGAATGGAGGAGGCGGGGGAGGGGAAGAGCACACACTTCCTCTTTGCTAAGCGCTGGGCCCTTCGTATGTGGGCAGCGTTGCAAACGGGTGGCCCAGGTCATGTTTCCTCACACCTGTGTGGTGGTGTTCAAACCAAGCTCTTTGGGGCAAGAAGGGCAGTTACTGGCTGCCAGTAAGTAGGCCCCAGACCCGTGGCGACCCCACGTGGAGAGTAGAACACCCCAAGGATTGCTGGAAGCACCTCCCAGGCCTGCATTCCAAAGTGCCTCTGGACGGGTTTGAACTGCCAACCTCCTGGCCAGTCGTGCAGCACTGAACTGTCTGATCACCCAGGGAGCGCCCGAGAATTAGTGGTGGGGCCTCCATTAATTCCTTTCACCTGCTGGCTGTCCCGCTCTGGCCTCCCACAGTGCACCCCGCAGTGGCCAAGCTCACAGGAGTCAAAGCGGGGCAGGGGGAGAGGGGAAGCCAGGGGAGGCTGAGGAGGGAGGGGAGAACATTCTGGGCCCAAAACCAGGGACAGACGTCAATGCAATGGAACCTTCTCACACATCCTCCTCTGCCCACTCCTACCCACATGCGAGGCCTGATGAGAAGGACTGGGAGGAGGGGGGTCCACTGGTACCTCTGATCCCCACCTCCCCCAACATCAGAGGAACTGAGGCAGTGGGACTACCACCCAAGGGGATCTGCTCCTGGGCTGTACTTCTGGGTATTTCTTAGAGGACTATGTTTTCAAATAGGGGTTCCCCACCCAGTGGGCTATCAAACCAGGTTAGTGACTTACCAAATCAAAACCCAAACTCACTGCCATCGAGTCAGATCCGACTCACAGCAACCCCTCCTTGAGTTTCCGAGGCTGTATCACTATGGAAGTAGATTGCCCAACCTTCCTTCTGAGGAATGGCTGGTGGATTTGAACCGCCAGCCTTCTGGTTAGCAGTCACGTGCCATATGCACTATGCCACCAGAGCTCCCTGTGACTTACAAATACCATTTAAAAAAAAAAAAAAGAGAAATAGAAAACTTTGTCTTGAGTGCTAAAGGTCAATTATATTGAGTCGATTCTGACTCAGTGACCCCACGTGACAGAGAGGAACTGCCCACACGCCTTCCAAGGCTGTCATCTTTGTGGGAGCCTATGTTCAGGTCCTTCCTCTGTGGAGGCATTGGGTGGGTTTGAACCACCAACCTCTGGTTAGCAGCTGGGCACTTACCACTGGGGTACCAGATATACATATATTTTTTGGGAAGGGTGGTGTATATATGGAACCTCTGGTGGTACAGTGCCTAAGGCACTTGACTGCTAACCAGAAGGCTGGCGGTTCAAACCAAGCAGCCACTCCTCGGAAGGAAGGTTGGGCGATCTGCTTCGGTAGAGATAATGCCTCGGAAACCCAAGGAGGGTTCACTATGAGTCAGAGACGACTTGAGGGCATGACTTTGGTTTTGGTCTTGGTGTATGTATGTCTATGGCGGTGCCCTGGGCCTGAGACATCTTACACTGCCAAGCCCGCTGCTGTCATGTGATGACCCCACATATCAGTCAAGAGTTGAACTGAGCCCTGCAGTTTTCAGTGCCTGATTTTCTGAAGCGGATTGCCAGGCCTTCCTTCTGAGGCACCTGTGGACGGACTCAAACCCCAAACCTTGTGGTCGGCAGCCGAGAGCGTTAACTGCTTGCGCCACCCCCCAGGGAGCCCAGCTTCTGATGAGTATGGCTCTAAAATGTCCAGGAGCTGCTGTCTGAGCCAGTGTGGAACGTGATGTGTGTTTCTGTCGTGAGGCTTTGGAGATGGTGGCTGAGTGTGTGTGCGTATCTGTTGTGTGTCTGCGTGTTTATGTCACTCACAGGCTTGCCCTGACGCCACTCCCAGCCTGCAGCAGGGGTACCTCTGTTTGTACTCGGGGAATCCTGAGTGTGTGCCTTTGTGACAGCGTATATGTGGGAATGTGGACTGTATCTGTGTGCGGGTCCGACGTGTGTTTTCTCTTGGGGCTCGGGTACCTGCGTGGGTTCCCTTGCCACCCCCAGACTGGTTTTCTAGCGTGCTCTGACTGGGTGTCAGCATTCATCTTTGGGCGTGGCTATACGAATCTGACTCCAGGACTACAACAGACCAGGAAGAAAGGCCTGCCCATCTCCTTCTGAGAATCAGAACCAGCGAAACCAACCCTGTGGATCACAGCGGTCCGCTCCACAGCCAACCCCCGGCACGGCACAGGACCGGCTGGTGTTCCGCTCCGTCGCGCATGGGGTCGCCATGAGTCTGCCCAACTGAAGGGCTAGATTTTGAAATGTGTGTGTCTCTTTGAGGCCTGGAGGTATTTCTGGGGCTTCTCTAGAGTGTTCTTGTGTGTTGGGGTGGCCATGTTTTGGGGGAAGGCTGTGTCTTTCTCAGATAATCCTGTATGACTGTGCTCTGTGGACCCCCTGTCTTTGAGGTGCCTGAGTCCCTGTGAGCGGGAGGCCAGCTCACGGTGCGGTGCGTATTTCCAGCCAGTTGTGGCTCTGGTGGGCGGGGCCGACCCTCCCCTGGGCGTGCCTTTGGGGGCGGGGCCTGTGTGTCTCTCACCATTGTGTTCTTACCACCAAACAGAATGTCTGGCAAAGGGGAAATCACCACACGTATTTGTCTGGTGACAACTTGTTGGACGAGAGTCCCTGTAAAGGTTTCTGGGGAGTTTCGGAGGGCGTGCACCCCGGGAACAATCTGAGTTTCTTCCTGAGTCCCTGTGTGTGCGTGCGTGTGTGCACATGCGTGCGTGTGTGTGTGGTGCTTCCGCGTGTGGGGTCGGTGCTGACCCAGGCTCCTTTGACTTTCAGGGGTCTGTGTGACAGTGTCCTCCCCTCCAGGTGTGTGTTGGGTGTGGTGAGCGTGTCAGACCTGCTGAGGTTGGGCCTGTCTCTGGGCTTTCTGTTCGGGACAGTGACCCTGAGTGGGTCCCTCATTCTTCCTGGGAGTGGCTCTGAATTCCTGATGAGGGTCTATTGGAGTTCAGGGGTCTCTCCAACCATGTGCACACGCATGCACACGTGTGCCTTTGCGCCATGTGTGTCTATGCACCGTGTGTGTGCTGTGTTTGTGTATGTGGTGTTTGTGTGTGTACGGTGGTATGTGGCTCTGTGGTATGTGGTGTATGAGTATGGAGTGTGGGTTTATGTGTGGGCTGTGTATGTCATGTGTGTACAAAGCAAACCAAACCCACTGCCATCGAGTCAATTCCGACTCATAGCAACCCCCACTGGGTTTCCCAGGGAGTAAATCTTTACAGAATTACCCAGTTTTCCTTCTGTGGGAGAGGCTGGTAGGTTTGAACCACCAACCTTCTGGCTAGCAGTGAAATGCCTTAAGCACTGTGTCACCAGAGCTCCTTAGTGTGTATATGGTACGGGTGAACATGAGGATATGTGTGGATATGTGTGTGTGGTGTGTGCAATGTGTGTGGCATGTGTGGCTATATGTGTGGCATGTGGTGTACATATAGTGTATGTGTGTGTGGTTATGTGGGGGGGTACATGCAGGCTTGTAGTGTGTTTGTAGTGTGTAGTTGTGTTTGGGGTGTGTATGTGGTGTGGGTGTATATATACTGTGTGGTTATGTGTGAGGTGTGTATGTAGCTTGTGGTATGTATGTAGTGTGTGTGTGGTATGTGGATGTGTCTGGAGTGTGTATATATAGTGTGTTACGGGTGTAGCGTGTGGTACATACAGTGATGTGGTGTGGGGTGTGTATATATATATATAGTGTGTGTGGTTATGTTTGTAGGTGTGTATGTAGTGTGTGGTATGCACGAACTGTGTGTGGTATATGTGGTGTGTGTATGTGGTGTGGGGTGTGTGTGTATATATGTATGTATATATATATATATAGTGTGTGTGTGGTTATGTGTGTAGGTGTGTATGTAGCTTGCGGTATGTATGTAGTATGTGTGGATGTGTTTGGAGTGTGTACATACAGTATGTGGTTATGTGTGTGGGTGTGTGTGTAGGATGTGTATGTGTGGTGTGTGGATGTGGTGTAGGGTGTATATAGTACGTGTGTGGTTGTGTGTGTGTGTGTGTAGGATGTGTATGTGTGGTGTGTGGATGTGGTGTAGGGTGTATATAGTACGTGTGTGGTTGTGTGTGTGTGTGTGTAGGATGTGTATGTGGTGTGTGTGGAGGTGTTTGGGGTGTGCATGTGGTAGATCTCACTAAGAGGACCTGTTTGTTCTGTCTGCCTCTGGCCACGGGCATCTGTCTCTAGCTGTGTGTCTGTCTCCCTTCCCAGAGGGCTCTGCTCTTGCCTGCAGTGGCCCCTCCAGCCTTCTGGGCAACGTGTGCACAGGTGTGCTGCGGGCAGGCTTCACTGGGATGGTATTCCGAAGCCTGGCTCTTTCAAAGTCTGCCTGGTGTCTCTTGGGCTCTGGCTGGGTGTTACCTGGCTCTCTGTTCAGTGAGTCTTGGCTGATGACACTGCTCTCTCAGGGGTGTGTCGTGCTGACAGTGGCACTGAGTTTGCAGGATGGTGTTTCAGCTGAGTGTGTGGATGTCAGGGCATCTCTGGAGACCCCGGGCTGGGTCTCCACAGGTGTGGGTCCTGCCGGCTATGCTAACATGCTCCCTGTCTGTGTCGCATGTCTTGGGGCATGCAGCGTGCGGCCTGCCCCTCCAGGTGTGGGATTACAGCCCTGTTCCCAGCAGCCTGGCTTGGCCCTACCCCTTCCTCCCTGGCTGCACGTCCTGGCGCCTGTCTGTGCTTCTGTCTAGAGATTCGACTCTTGTCTGTCTGAGTCTGCATGTGTGGAGCTGTGTCTTTCCCAGGCTCCTTGAATCTTCTCTGGGTTTCTTCCCAAAGACCCTCTCTGGCCTCTCCTTTCCAGAAAGCCCCCAGGACAGCCCTCACTTCCTAACTCCTCTCCCTACACCGTCCCAGTCACCCCAGATTCAGACTCCAGCCTGAGGGACAAGGAAAAGCCAACTGCCCATGTTTCCTTCAGCGAGGCGGGTCTGGTCCCCACCCAGGTCGGCGGCACAACCCCCCAACATGGGCCCCACACGCAGAGGGCGGGACTAGGGAACAGACTGGGGTCTCGACATGCTGCCCCCAGACCCGCTTACCTCGGACAAGGACGACCTGCTCAGCGCGGCCCGTGCCCACAGCGTTGGTGACTGTGCAGGTGAAGGTGGTGTTGAACAGCCTGTCCACGGAGTGGATGATCAGCTGCGGGCCCCGGGTGACCACTGAGGTTGGGAAGGCGCCCGAGTTCCTGGGTGGGAGGGTGGCGTGGGGCTGGGATCAGGTGAGGGGAGACTGGGGCCGACGGGAGCACAGGCCTGGGCCCTGCTCACAGGCCCTCAGCAGCCAGGCTCCGGGGACCCAGAACATACTCCAGAGACCCCAAACTGTCAGCTCTCTTCTTCCTTGAGGACGCAGAAGTCCAGGTCCCTGGGCCCCTCCTCGTTCAGACCCAGGAATGCATGCCCCTGACCCCCACCTCCCTATCACCCAAGAGTCCAGGCCCTGTTCCCCTCCTCCCCCAGACCCAAGTGTCCGGCTCCCGGCCCCCACCCCCAGACCCAGGCGTCCGGGTCCAGCCAGGACTCACATGCTCCAGTCATAGCCTGTGGGTTCTGGGTTGCTACGGACGTCACAGTTCAAGGTGACCTCGCTGCGTCCGAGGTACCAGTTGTCATCATAGCCAGAGATGGAGACTTCAGGGGGGTCTGAGGAAAGTGAGGGGGCTGGCTCAGAGATGCAGAGGATTCCAGAGGGGGCAAGGGATCAATGGCACCCTAAAGCAATGGGGTGGGTGGGCAAGAGGAGGCAGGGGACGCTGTCCAGAGCAAGTCATTCCACTGGTGGAACCCAAGACTATGGCCCCTAGCTGCCCTTCTGGTCAGGAATTGAACTCACTCCTGTGGCTTCCAGCCAAATAAAAGACAGACATATGGGCTGAACGTTTACATCAGGTAAGATACACTCCTTGGAGTGATGGGAGAAAGAAGGGCTGTGTTTGCACAGGGAGTCGGCTCAGGGGGTAGGGGTGCATGGAGGGAAGGACACAGGGAAGAGGTAACTATGGGGAGGAAGTGGGAAGGGAGCTGTTGCATTGTGGGAAATTACAGTCAAAGTCATGAGACAAAGTGTATGTGAAATGCTGTATGGAAAGTGAATTTGCTGTGTAAACTTTCACCCAAATCACAATTAAAAAGAAAGTGGTTCTCCGCAAGTGGAAAAAAAAGTCCTGATTTGTGGTGTTTGCCCATTTCCTTGGTGTAAATACTGTCCCCATGGTTGATTTCAAGCTACCAGTATAACTTCAGTGCAAATGAACTGGGAAGAAAAATATGATACTGATGCTTGAAAGCTCACTCTGGCATCCCATTGGTTGGAGGCAGAAAGCCCAGGGAAGCTACTGTAGACAATGCAAGGATCTACAGAAGCCAGTGGAGACAGTGAAGGGGCCGTGAAGAGTGGCTAAGGAGAGCTAGTGTAGACAACAGGAGGTAGGCACCTAGAACGCGGCTCAGGGGGCCGACAGCGCCCTCGTTCAGGCACAGGGTAGACAGTGGCAGGGAAGTCGGACCACATGCCAGCACTCACAGCGCACAGTGAGGGTCACGGGCAGCAGGACGGGCTCCTGGAAGCTCTCGTGCTCCACTTTGCAGGTGACCTCCTTGCCGTCTACTCTGCCCAAGGGCACCAGGGTCAAGCGGCTGGTGACAGTGAAGGTGCCAGGATGTGATCCTTGCACCTGGGTCTCGACGGCCTTCCCACCCAGGGACGAGGACCAGGAGATGCGGGCTGGTGGGCGGCCCTCACTGGAGACACAGCGGGCCACGGGCACGGGCTCCAGGTTGAGTGTGACCTCCTGGGCTTCGGCGTGGTTCCGGGGCTGGGCTGGGGAGAGGACACACAGCGTGGGTCACCTCGCGCCTGCAGCCACTCAGCAAACACCTGAGCAGCGGAGCGGGGGGGGGAGGCACGGCCTGGGCTCCAGTCCCAGCTCTGCTGCTCAGCAGCCCGGTGGCTTTGTGCAGCTCATTTTACAACTTGGTTTCCTCTTCTGTCAAACAGGAATCATAAAAGTGTCCACCCAGGCGATTGTTACATGAATGCAATAAATAAATATACTCTTAGGTGTAGTGCCTAAGGCACTTGACTGCTCACTAGAAGGCTGGCAGTTCAAACCCACCCACCAGCCACACCTCCAAAGGAAGACTGGGCAATCTACGTCCATAGAAATACTGCTTCGGAAACCCAGGGAGGGGTCATTATGAGTCGGAAACAACTCGATGACGGCAGTGAGTTTATTAAGAAAGCATTTAGGGCCATGCTTGCCACACACTTAAGAAGAAACCTACTGCCACTGAGTCAATTCTGACTCACAGTGACCATCTAGGACAGAACTGAACTGCCCCAGAGGGTTTCCGAGGCTGTCAATCTTTATGGAAGCAAAGCCCAAACCAAACCCACTGCCATGGAGTCGATGCTGACTCACAGCGCCCCTAGAGGACAGAGTGGAACTGCACCACAGGGTCTCCAAGGCTGTCGATCTTTACAGAAGCAGACTGCCTCATCTTTCTCCTGAGGAGTGGCTAGTGGGCTTGCACTGCCAACCTTTTTGGTTAGCAGGTGAATGCCTTCACCACTGTGCCACCAGAGCAGTACATGTTAACTGTGATATATTACTTGTCCTGCTCAGCCAGAAAAGCAGAGACAGGGTCTAAATGTCTGTAGGAGGCTGAGATATATAAAAAACAGCCAGTTTTATAACAATTGAAAAAAGGAAAAAAGTCCCAGACAAAATAACATGGCTCAATGGTCTAGCTGAAAAGGAACCCTCCCCCCAACTTCTCTTCCTGTAATCATCATTCGTGTGTGGTGCCGGAAGTGGGATAAAGGCCAGAGAGATTGCCAAAGCTGGTCGTTTGTTTTGCCCTTTTACCCTGTCCTTCTGGAAAACATGGGGGAAATGTTAGGGAAATAACAAAACCAAACCCTGAGAGGAATAATATAATACCAGCTGTCACCTAGTGACGTGTCACCCTAACCCAGCCAGCCTTGAGTTCTGCCTCAGGTCTCCTGGGCTTTGAGGACCCCTCCACCTAGGGGTCTTCAGAGCCTCTACTGTGGTATGGACTTCCCCTCTCCTCCCCTCCTCTCTTCTCTCACGACCCCCTCCCCTAAGCCCTGCAGGGCCTCCAGCAGGCCTCCCCACGTCCTTCCTGCCTGCCCCTCCCATCTGTGTCCCCCACCACAGCCAGAGGGAAGGTCCAGTACCAACCCTGCCCACACCCTTTGGGCCCACAGGGCCCAGCAAGGTTCATCCTCTGCCAACCACTCTAGACACCTCTACCCCATGCTTCTTTTGGCCTGTGCCCCCCTACCCAGCATGGGGTCTTGGCATCCTTGCACATCCCACCTCCTCTTCCTCAGATGCCCCAGCCTCCTCTTTCATTGTCCAAACCCAAGCCCAAGTTTCACTTCCTCAAAGGAACTTCAGTGACCTCTCAGGGCCTGTCCCATCTCCTGTTAGTAGCTTGCATGTCACCTCCTCCCTCTGTGAGGGCAGACACTTGGCTGTTTGGGCCTCTGCCCCTTCTCTGGTACCTATGTCCCTACCCACTGCTCTCAAGTCAATTCCAACTCATGGCCCCTGTGTTACAGCAGAATTGCTCACTGGCTGTAACTTTTACAGAAGCAGGTCCCTAGGTCTTTCTTCCGTGGTACCGCTGGGTGGGTTTGATCCGCCAACCTCCCGGTGAGTAGTGAACTATAAACTGTTTGTACCGCCCCTTGATGCGTGGCTGGTGCAGTAAATGTTCTCTAGGCCACCTCTGGCACAGGACAAATGACGGCATGAGGAGGGACTCCTGAACTGTGCTCTGAATGATGGAAAACCACCGTGGTTTCTGGGCTTCCTGGAAAACGGAAGCGTTTACCCAAAGGTGGCACAGCATGGACTTCTCAAAGTCTCTGGGACCGAGACAGGGGAAATCAAGTGTCCAGAGTGACTTGGCTTCTGGGAAGTTGCAGGGAAGGTGGGATCCCAGGGGAACCCCAAAGACACGTTCCTCCCTGAGAGTCACCAAGCCAGGGCATCCCGTGGAAGAGTACCTTCGTAGAGTCTTCCCCATTTTACTTCCTGGCTGGGCGGGACCATCTCCTCCTAAAGCCACAAACCTGAGGTTTCTCCTGGTTCTTCTCCCCATTGATGAGTCCGGTGCCTTCTAGGTCCTCAAAGCATGTTTCTTATACCAACTTCTCTTGACCTCCAACTGCCTTCTCCATCTTCCACACCAATGCCTTCTCTCACCTTCTGTTTCTCTCCACCTTATTCTTCTTACATCCACCCCTCCAGGGGCCCTCCAAACAGGATCCACTCGTCAGTTTATAATGTCAACAGTCGGGCCAGGTCACTCTTGTAATCTGAACCCCTCCAATAGCTCCGAGTGGTCCTTAGGATAAAGGTCAACCTCCTCACCTGGGTCTATGAGGCCCACACAGCGTGGCCTGGGAGGGTGTCACTCAATCCTCCATCAGCCCTATCAGCTGTTAGGGGTTGAACTGTGTCCCCCGGAAGATACTGCTTAAGTCCTAACCTCTGTGGTACCTGTGAATGTGAACCTGTTTGCAAACAGGGTCTTGGAAGGCATTATGGGCTCAGCTACCATCACACTGGGGTAGGATGGGTCCTAATCCAACAGGACTGGTAAACTTACAGACAAGAAAAGACACAAGAGAGAGACACAGGGAGGGCAGGTGTGTGAGGATGGACACAGAGGCCGAGGTGACACATGTACAAGGCATGGAACACCAACGATCGCCCGCTGTCACCAGACACTATAAGTGGGCAGGGAACAGAATCCTCCTCAGGGACCTCAGAAGTAATCAACATGGACGACACCCTGCCCTCAGACTCCCAGCCTCCACAACTGTGAGACAGTAAATATCTGTTCTCGCAAGTCACCCACACACTCTGTAGTACTTTGTTACGGCGGCCTACACAGGCGTCCTCTCAGCTCCTGGAACGTGTCAAACTTATGCCCACCTCCCAGCTTCATGGTATGGTGGTTAAAGCATTCAGCTAGCCTAAAGGTCGGCAGTTCAAACTCACTAGCTGCTCTGAGGGAGAACGATGGGGCAGTCAGCTTCCATCAAAAATGACAGCCTTGGAAACCTGACGGGGCAATTCTACCCTGTCCTCTAGGGGCGCTGTGAGTTGGAATCGACTGGACAGCAGTGGATTTGGTTTGGGCTTTGCTTCCGCGAAGATTAAAAAAAAAAGAAAAACCAAACTCACTGCCATTGAGTCAGATCTGACTCACAGAGACCCCTCCTTGGGTTTCCGAGGTAGTATCACTATGGAAGTAGATTGCCCAACCTTCCTTCCAAGGAGTGGCTGGTGGGTTTGAACCTCCACCCTTCTGGTTAGCAGTCAAATGCCTTAGGCACTACGCCACCAGAGCTCCCTCTGTGAAGATTACAGCCTTGGAAACTCTATGGGGCAGTTCTACTCTGTCCTCTAGGGGCGCTGTGAGTCGGAATTGACTCAGGGCAATGGTTTTGTGTGTGTGTGTGTGTGTGTGTGTAGTTCCCTCTGCCAGTCCATCTACTCCCCTGTGGATGGCTCCTCCTCACACATCACAAATTGACGAAAATGTCCTTCTTCAGATGCCAACCCTGACGCTGCCATCTCAGTTAGGTCACCATGTCCCTTGTGTTGAGTATTACGACATGCCAGTGCCTCCTTTCTCTGCTATTTTGATTATTCTCCAGCTTTACCTCTAAGACAGTCCGGAATTGATTTCTTCTTGGCAACCCCATTGCATCGCCTTGGTCCCCATCACCTCCTGCCTGGACAACGGTAGGCATCTCCTCTGTGCGTCCCACCTTCCACCCCTGCCCTTCTCCCTGTAGCTGGGAGCCCATGAAAACTCAAGCTTACATCCCTCTCCAGTTCAGAACCTCATGCAGCTCCCATTTAGGACAAGTGCCAAAGGCACTGCGAGCCGTGAGGCTGCCCACGATCTGTGTCTGTCGCCCCCTGGGTCTCGTCTCCTCCCCCTCTCCTCCCTTCATGCATCTCCAGCCACACTGTCTTCCCTGTGACTGGCTGTGGATGGGACCCTTGTCATCCACAGGGTTTTCATGAGTTGATTAAGGGAAGTAGTAGATCACCAGGCCTTTCTTCCTGGTCTTAGTCTAGATGCTCTCCTGGAACCTGTCTACCATCACTGCAACATGCAGGCTTCCACAGATGAATGGGGGCTATGAATGGGATGCACTGGTCAGGAATTGAACCAGGGTCCCCCACGTGGAAGGCAAGAACCCTACCCAAGAACCACCACCGCCTGGTGTTTGGCACACAGTAGCTGGCCAATGAGGACTTCCCGGGTGACTGGAGAGCAGAGGGTAAGTCACAGTCACAGCTGAAGCAGAGGTGGGGCTCCCCGACACTGCACCCTGCCACCCTCCCCCCTGCCACCCCACAGCCCCGCCCTGCTCACCAATCACTCTGAGCCAGGTCACCCCCCGGATGGTGCCATTGGGGAAGGTGGCAAAGTCACAGGTGTAGTTGCCCTCGTCTTCCACCGTCAGCCCCTTGAAGGCCAGCGTGGCATCCTGCAACTTCGTCTCGGTCCCCTTCCCGACCGCCACGAACGACAGTCGTTCCTTGCCCGGCTTCGGGCTGGGGAAGCTGGGGCCGTAGGAGGGGTGGAACACGGCCACGTTCGGGGTGCCCCCCGCCGCGTCCAGGCGCTGCCACGTCACCTGTGAGATGCGCACGTCGGGGGCCGGCGGCAGCAGGTGACACGGCAGCTCTACAGCGCCCCCCAGGCGGCCTCGGACCTCGGGCAGCACGCGGACGCGTACATCCTGGGCTCCTGGGGAGAGAGGAGTGGGAGGTGAGGCAGGTCCCAGGAGGGACAACGTGGAGGGGCGTCCTGCCCGGAAGTGTGGGCACCTTCCGGGTCCCCATGCCACAGAGAACCATCTCCACAAGACACTTTGGGGGGAGCAAGGGAAATTTAGAACCTGGACTAGGTGAGGTGGTGGTGTTGGGGGCCTTTGAGTCGAATCTGACTCCTGGAGATCCCGTGTACGAGACAGCGTAACTGCACTTCAGGACTGTCAATGGCAGACTTCTTTGGATGCAGATCACCAGGCCTTCTCTTCTGAGGCACCACTAGATGGGTTTGAATTGTCAACCTTTTTTTTTTTTTTTAATATTAATATCTTATGGTGTTTTCAGTGAAAGTTTGCACAGCAGGTTAGTTTCCTACTCAACAATTTCTATACAAGTTGTGGAGGGACCCTGGTTACATCTGTCACTAAGCATGAACGTTCTCCTCTGGTTGTTCTGTTTCTATTCATCTAGTTTCCCTACCCCTTGATACGCTCATCTTTGATTTAAAGTCACTGTGGACCATTTGGCTAAACCACTGCCATCAAGTTGATTCTAACTCATAGTGACCCTATAGGACAGAGTAGAACTATCTCATAGGATTTCTGGCTGTAGTCTTTACAGAAGTACACTGTCACATCTCTCTCTCATAGAGTGGCTGGTAAGTTCAAACCACTTACTTTTGGTTAGCAGTCGAGCACTTAACCACTGCACCACCAGGCTCCTTTCTTTAGAAGATACAGGGCTGAAATGACATCCGGTCTGCAGCTTACTCTCAAAATGGTTCAGAAAAAAAATAATAAATTAAGTAAGAGTCCCTGGGTGCAGCAATAGTTAATGTGCCTGGCTGCTAACTGAAGGGTCGGAGGTTCGAGTCCCCCAGAGGCACCGCAGAAGAACGGCATGGCGATCTACTTCTGAAAATTAGCCACCGAAACCTCCATGGAGCACGGTTCTAGTCCAGCACATGGGGTGTTGCCAAGAGACAGAATCAGCTTAATAGCAACCAGCAACCAAGAAGCAAACGTGGCCACATGTCTGTCGCCCTGCCAGGTCCAGTATGGAGGAGGAGGGCGGTGCCTGGACCAGTCCCGGGACTTACATCCGTTATGCTTGACATTTTTCATAAGAAAAACCTGGAAGGATCCTCCTAAAATAAAACCCCAAAAAACCAAACCCACTGCCGTGGAATCCATTCTGACCCACAGCGCCCCTAGAGGACAGAGTGGAACTGCCCCAGAGGGTTTCCTAGGCCGTCAATCTTTATGGAAGTAAAGCGTACAATAAGAGTTCTAAAATAAAGGTATCAAAACAAGTCAATCACAAATAAACTGTAAGAAACTTAAAATGTGAAGCCAGTCTTCATTTGTTTTCCCCACAGTAATATACTTTATTACACCTTTCTGTAAAACCTACTACTCTCTCGGGCCTATCTTCTTTTTAAACAGCTTTATCCACATAAAATTCACACACCGTGCAATTTACTCATCTAAAGTGTACAATTCAATGGCTTTTGGTAAAATCACAGAGTTGCATGCTACCACCATAATCAATTTCAGAACATTTTCATCACCCCAAGATGAAGCCCCGTACCCATTACACAGTTACAGTGATCCCGTAGGACAGAGTGGAATCACCTAATAGGGTCTCCAAGGCTGTCAGTCTTTACAGGAGCAAAGCCCAAACCAAACCCACTGCTGTGGAGTCGATTCCAACCATAGCGCCCCTAGAGGACAGAGTGGAACTGCACCACAGGGCTTCCAAGGCTGTCAATCTTTGCAGAAGCAAAGCCCAAACCAAACCCACTGCTGTGGAGTCGATTCCAACCACAGCGCCCCTGGAGGACAGAGTAGAACCATAGGTTTTTCAAGTGTCAGTCTTGATGGAAGCAAACCTGCCACATCTCTCTCCCATGGAGTGGCTGCTGGGTTCTAAGCATCAACTTCTTGATTAGCACCCAAGTGCTTTAAACACTGTGCCACCAGGGCTTCTCCCTAGGCAGCTACCAGTGTGCTTTCTGCCTCTATAGATTTGCCTATTCTAGGCATTTCAAATAAACAGAATCAGACAATATGTGGTCTTTTGTGACTGGCTTCTCTCACTAGCATGTCAAGAGTTCATCCTCTATTCAAGCGGCCAACAAACATATGAAGAAATGCTCACGATCATTAGCTATTAGAGAGATGCAAATCAAAACAACGAGATACCATCTTGCTCCAGCACTAGTAGCAAAGTTCAACAAGACAGAAAATAACAAATGCTGGCGAGGTTGTGGAGAGATTGGGACTCTCATACACTGCTGGTGGGACTGTAAAATGGTACAACCATTGTGGAAAGCAGTATGGCGATTCCTTCAAAAGTTGGAAATACAAATACCATTTGACCCAGCCATCCCATTACTAGGTATATACCCTGAAGAAGTGAGAGCCATAACAAGAACAGATATATGCACGCCGATGTTCATCACAGCACTATTTACAATAGCCAAAACTTGGAAACAACCTAGATGTCCAACAACTGAGGAATGGATAACCAAACTTTGGTACATTCACACAATGGAATACTATGCAACGCTAAAGAATAATGTAGAATCTGCAAAACACTGCATAACGTGGATGAACTTGGAGGACATTATGCTGAGCGAAATAAGTCAGTCACAAAAGGACAAATATTGTATTAGTCCGTTATTGTGAAAGTTAAGGAAAGTTTTATATATTGGAGGACATTTTCTTTGTTGGTTACCAGGGGTGGGAGGGAAGGGGAGGGAATGCTGTTAGATAGATAGAGATAAATATTGATTTGGGTGAAGAGAAGGGCAATGTACCAAATGTGAGTGACCAATATGGCAGCATTGAGGATGAGAAAGACAGAGAGAGTTACATGGGCAGTACAAACAACAAATATGAACCCCTTTGTAAATACAATACTGAGTTGTCAATGAAAGCAAACATGGGTATAGGGACGGATAGATGGGTGAACAAGCTAAACAATTATGTATGTCTAAATGGAGAGTGTATCCAAGATCATATACAGGGTTGGCAGACAATGGGCCTCTCGAAGAGTATGAAGGGATGGACACTGGGAGGAGGTAACTATGGGGAGGAAGTGGGAGGGGAGCTGCTGCATTGTAAATTTTGGTCAATGACATGAGACAAAGTATATGTGAACTGCTGTATGAAAAGTGAATTTACTCTGTAAATCTTCACCCAAATCCTAATAAAAAAAAAAAAAAAAAAAAAAAAAAAGAGTTCATCCTCAATGCAGCATGTATCACTACTTCATTCTTTTCTTGGCCAAGTAATATTCCACTGCATGGATATACCACATGATATTTATCCATTCATCAGAAGAAGGACATTTGGGCTGTTTCCTCCTTTTGACTATTATGAATATTACTGCTCTATAACATTCTGTTATAAAGGTGACTTCAGGTGACTTTACAACATTCTGTTATAAAGGTGAATGTTTCCCTGTTGTGCAAGACAGCCTTGGAAACACTATGGTGCAGTTCTACTCTGTCCTCTAAGGGCAATGTGGTTGGAATCAACTCCACAGCAGTGGGTTTGGTTTGGGTTTTGCTCCTGTAAAGACTGATAACCTTGGAAAACCTATTGGGTGATTTTCAGATCACCTTCTGTTTTCTCATTTCTAAGAAAAACAGGAATAAAGAAGAATGTTTCCCTGTTGTGCAAGGCAGTACAGCATGGAGGCCACAGATTGCCTGGGTTCAAATCTCAACTTGGGCACTTACAGGCTGTGTGACTTTGGACAAGTCACTTAACCTCTCTGTGCCTCAGTTTCCTTATCTGTAAAAGGAGAATAATAATCGTACCTTCCTCCTAAGATCGTAACAAAAATTAAGGAATAATGTCGTCAATGAGATACAACTATTGGTCTCCCTTCATCTGGAACAAAAGAGAAAAGGAATTTCAAGAATCAGAGAAGAAACTTGACTCCAGTGTTAACTGTCTTCATGAAGAGGCCTCCTCTGCCTTGAGATGAGAAGAACCAGATAGTGCCTGGCTACTGAACATTCTGATCAGAGTCACAATAGATGAATTCTGATAGAAAGGGCAAGAACATGGAACAGAATTCAAAATTCCTGAAGAATCCAGACTTACAGGACCTGCTGAGAATGGAGGAATCCCGAGACTTTAGCCGTGAGTTACCCTTCAAACCGTGAATTGAAGTTACCCCTGAAGTCACCTTTATAACAGTTTAGTTCAAAAAGTAAAGACTGTCACTCTTGAGTACTGCACAAATGGACAGCAGTCATTTTAAAGCACTGACAAGGCTGAGGGCAGAGAGTTTAAGTCAAGGCAGCCAAACAAGCAGAGCAGAAATACTGACAATGTTGACACAATGTATCCAACTTTACTGATACTTATGTTTGGAAAAGTGCTTTATTTTCATCAAAAATAGTATTAAAAACAGAGAAAGAAGAAATATTTGTAAAGCACTTAGCAGAGGGCCACAGGAAACACGAGATCAGAGTTTAGTGAAGAAACACAGTGAGGAACGTGTAATTATTACAAGTGGCTCCTGACGCTAAGAAGGAGCCCTGTGGTGTGGCAGTTAAAGTACTCAGCTGCTAACTATAAAAGTTGGTGGTTTGAACCAACAGCTGCTCTGCGGGAGAAAGATGACACAGTCCGCCTCTGTAAAGACTGACAGCCTTGGAAACCCTCTGGGCAGTTCTACTCGGTGCTTTAGTGGCGCTGTGAGGCGGCATGGACTCCACAGCAGTGGGTTTGGTTTGAGCTTTGCTTCCATAAAGACTGACAGCCTTGGAAACCCTCTGGGCAGTTCTACTCGGTGCTTTAGTGGCGCTGTGAGGCGGCATGGACTCCACAGCAGTGGGTTTGGTTTGAGCTTTGCTTCCATAAAGACTGACAGCCTTGGAAACCCTCTGGGGCAGTTCTATTCTGTCCTACATGCTATGACTTGAAGACAACAGGTTTCCTTTTTTTGTTTTTTCTT